TGTCAACCCCTACAAAGCAGGTTGCTGCTGTGAGAGGCCAAACCAGATGAGCAACAACAGCTCCATCGTGGGTGCTCCAAAGCTTGTAGCACGCGCGCAGCTGCGGAAGCTCCTGAAGCGGTGGAGCGGACACATCCCGGTATCGATGAAGTACGAGCGGGGGAAGAAGGAAGCAGTGCCTATCCCTGTCCCTGATGCCCAGCCTAAGCCTCTTAGTGCGGCAGAACGCGAGGTGCGTCACATTTGTTCCCCTTCCCTCTTTGAAGCAACCCCCTTCTTGCAATTTAGAGAGTAGAGTTTAACTTGCACTCATTTTGCACATTTGCTGGCACTTGTCAAGCTCGCTCGAAGAACGCCGCTTTGCCCGACTTTGTCTCTCCCGCGTCTTTCCAAGTCCTATTCTCTGTCAGTTTTTCGTGCTCCCTCGCTTCTCGGGTCAGTGCATGCTCTTGCACTCAGGTTGACAATATTCTACATGGATTTTGCAGACGCTCAGCACTCTCGCCCCGTGCGTCTACAAACTCGTCAACTACAGCGACCCCAACCACGCAAGCCTGTGCCCCAACCCTGCGTACCGGAAGCTGTTCTACCACCTGGGCTTCATGCACAGCGACGCCGAGCTCCTCCGGCACGGGGCTCAGGACACGGTCGTGCAGATCCTGACGACTCTCAAGCTGTCCGCAGGGGCTCCGCACATCGAGATTGAGTGCGAGTGGGATCAGGCGCTCCACACTTATGCCCCGTGCCTGCAGGCCGTCCTGCTCAGTGGCATTGACCGCGATCAGACGCGCAAGGGGTTTCGGAAGTCTGGGAGCACGTGGAAGTCGAGGGAGAAGCGGCAGGGCACCGGCTACAAGGTGGACGCCAATCTGCTCTACGCCCTCGCCCCGCTGCTCCAGCATCTGCTGCGCCTCTCATTCTGGGAGACGGACTACATCGCGAACCACCAAGCGTCCGCGCTGTTGTGCGAGGCCCTGGGGGTGGAGAGGGGCGAGATCTGCTGGGGGTGTCTCCCTGGGGATCGCGGGTCGCAGCGGGTGGGGAAGGACGTCTACTTCGACAGGGTGCCGGAGCTGGTCGATGAGATCCGGGAGCTGATGTCGGGGCCGTGCCGGGGCACCTCGGACGGGATCCTCGCCGGGGAGGCCTACGTTGCCAATCAGCACCGGCTCAGCTCCAGCAACGTCTACCACCGGGTGTTCCGCGACGTCCCGCAGGATGCTGGGAAGGATAAACCTAACGGGAAATGCATCGGTGGTGAGAGGGACGTCAAGTGCAACGAGGAGACCGACGATGGCTGTCCAGAGCTGGTCTCAGACGAGGTGGCGAAGAAGGGGGCCAAGAAGGGGGGCAAGAAGGTTCGGTGTCAGGTAAGATACAGCGCCGTGCAGGTGCGCGGTTGAGTTGCACCGCACTGCCCTTCCTGCTGCAACTCTTGACCGCTTCCTACCGGACAAGCAATCTGAGTGTGACAAGCGTCCTCCCACCTTGCAGAAAGCTGAGAGAAGCGACACGGATGGAGTGATGATCGTCACGTGCAAGCACCTCTTTATCTACTACTACCACGTTCTCCTTCGACACGAGTCTCTGCACGACGTCTTCACCTTCCTCGTCACCCGCTTCGAGCACCGGCCTCCCAAATTCATCATCTACGACAACGCTTGCGAGCTTGCTCGCTATTGCAGAGCGGTAAGGCTGGCAACTGCTTATGCCAGGTTTTTTTGCCATCCTCGCAGCAAAGGTTCTCGCACGAGACTTCTTTTTACGCAATCACGAGGCTTGTTCAGTGTGTGTATTGATACGCTCTCTACATAATGCAGCGCTCGCCAGAGTTCTTCGCTCGCACGATGTTCCTGACGGACGTCTTCCACGGTGTCACCCACAAGTGCTCTGACGAATTCAAGTACCATGCACACCTCCTGAAAGAGGGGCGTGAGTTTCAAGGGCCCCGCGTCACCGGCCCCCAAGAGGTCATCAACGGTGTCATGAAGCGCTTTGACAGTACACAAGCTGCCTCCATTA